ACAAGAGGGACTTTAAGTGCACGGTGATTGGTCCATACATCATCTTACGCTGATTGGTCGAACACAAAAGCCGAGGCAGAACCACCAACTGCCGCTTTTAAATTCCATGGTAAACGTAAGCAAATAGCAATTGGTAAAAGCTCTTAAAATCATTTGAAAACAAACATGGCAGTGCGAATGCAGACAGAAAAAAGTCCACATGGTGTTTAGTTCTCAGGGAACTCCCAAGAAAACAACTGTTTGGACTGAAAACACCTTATATATTGCTGTTTATTCTTTTAATGCCACTTATTTATTCCTCATATTTATCATCATTGGTTTCAAAGGATGAGAAGGTGCATGGGCAAAATGCCTTTCATTGCATTGAATGTACACTGAACCTTTTAGTTAATAAACTGAACTGAATTGAAATGGGAAACTTCTGCACTCAGATTTATTTTTCTACAGAAACCCTTCCAAAATCCCTTCACCAATACAAAGCTAGGTTGAGTGTTGCCATTGAAATGACCCCTGCTTCAGTGTGGTCTCATTCTCTTCACTTTTAAAGATTCCTTTATGCATAGTTACTCTCTTTACATCTCGTTACACTCTTTCATCCTCTTCCTCTTGGTGTAGTTATATCTCCTTTTCTCTATGACTTTTTGAATTAAACAAACCTTATTATGTTGTCCCTTGTGCGTGTACTTTTTAGTTTCATAAAATAGAAGCAGAATTAAATCAAACCTTTTTGTTCAGAAGGATAAATACAAGATAAAAAAGTCCAGGATCGCAATGTTTTGTGATAGTGATAGCACTGGCACCAATGTTGCTGTAAAATGGAATTTTAAACTTGCAAGACCATCTCAATCGTTTATGCTCATAGCCTGCTGCTCACAGTGAGTTACTAGCTTTTTGTGATAAATACCTCTGTGTACTCCTTACCTCAAAGGATCTTAGAATGTACACAAACCATGCTGCTGTCAAACTCGTACAAGTAAAGAAAGCCAAATACAATCCTGTTTTCTTTTGGTCTGAACATGTCATCAGTCATTTTTTTCTCAAACCGAAAGCACATGTTTCAGTGCTCGTCCACGCCTTTGCCTCCTCCAGGATGAACTACTGCATCTCACTTCATCAGGATCCCGAGCAAGAAGCACCAAAAACTCAGATATGTTCAAAACAGTGCAGCTAGGATCCAGATGAGTTTGTGAAAATATGAACACATCATGTCCATCCTTCACACACTTCACTGGCTTCCCATTCACCACCACATCCCTGTTAAACATAACACTGCATCCTTCCTCAAAGATCTGCTCACCCCACAAACTGCCACAAAGAAACCACCAAAACCAAACCGTCTCCATCTTTTCAGGACCTAGCTGCACGCTATGGGGGATCAGGCCTTCTACTTTGCCCCTCGAGGGCTGTGAAGCGCTCCAGTGCACCACCGGAGCTCCACAGCCTGCTGAGACATTAACAAAAGGACTAAAAAACTCTCCTTTAAAAATAAATGTTTACATAGTTCTGTCTGCTCTTACTTATTCTCGTGCTCATGATTCTTAATTACTGCTTGCTCCTATTTGTTGTTTCTAATACTCATCTTTCTCAATTTTCTGCTTCCTTGCCTGTTTTTATTCTAATGTTTCTTAATTTCTGCCTGCTCTTACTTGTTTTCTAACACTCATATTTCTTACTCTCTGCCTGCCCATGCAATTTAAATTCACGATAATGTTCTCTTAATGCTGTTGCACTATGAGATTTGTTTTACAGGAACAGTGTACTACAAATACATACATATTCTTATTAGGCTATATCATGCTCATGGATACAATCTAAAAATCCACATTACCACATTTGAATTAAGGCAATGATGTCACTTTCCACCTGCTGAGTAAGCCGTTTTATGATCTTACAGCAGGTAGATTTCTGCTTTGATGGGTGCATGAATATGTGGAGAACTAGAATTTATTTTTGTTTCAGTCAAATAACCTCCAGTTGAATCTTGCACACACTGAATTGACCATGGCCTGTGTCAATGAACACCTTTAATAATCCGGGAGCCAGGTCCATCCCTCAGGATGTTTTTTGCTACCTTTTTTACCATTACTATTTCAAGCCCATACCTTGGGCCATCAAAAGTTGATAAGGTTTTGTGAGTTTTGGGGATGATAACTTAAAATGTAATGGCAGAAGGACCAGAATCTTATCTTGCTACTTTCTCCTATGTTTCAAAGCATTTTTCAAAGCATTTTTTTTGGACCACAGGACCAAACGGCCCCAAGTTGGAAGTGGTCGTTATCACCTTGTGATGGCCCAAGGTATAGGGCTACCTAGTAATGAAAAAAAGGTAGCAGAAAACATCCTGAGGGAGGGACATGGCTCCAGGACTAGGTCTTGTTTTGTTTTGACAAATGCATTAAGATCTCTACATTTCTCTACACCTCACAGCTGCAAAATAAAACCCGAGCTGTGAGCTCTTTCTGAGGAAGCAGAAGATGATAAAGAAATAAAAACTGCAGCTCCAACCCTGAGTCTGTTCATATATTGTACATCCCGCCCTCCTTCAGCTCGGTTGGTTGAGTCCAGCTCTTACACCTGTCAATCATGTTGATGAGCTGTCATCTCGCTTCAGTCTGACATATCCCTCCATCTTTAAATCCACCACAGGCTCCGAGGAAAACAACCAATGTGCAGTTTAAAGAATCCTGCAGAGGTTTGTGACTGACAGACTTTCAGCTTCACTGTTCTTTTGTTTGTTTTCAGCCTCACAGACGAGTCAGAAGCTTCAGACAGAAAAAAACAAAACATTTCAATATCCTTCACCTTTCTTTTTGTTGTTTTAAGGTTTTAAGGATGCACCGTTCTCCAAATGTTTATTTCAAGTGAAGTGAAGTAAATCACAAGGAAATTCTACAGTTCACTAAGCAGACGCGACGTACATCAGAGAGTAAGTACAACACAAGCAAGGATCTAGAAAAAAGGAAACAATGTCAGTAAGAGCAAACGATCAGCTTTGTGTCCGATTGGACACACGGTGCCAAGAGGCACAGCACAACACTGACGGCAGTTTTTGAGAGCTCTAATCACAGTTATCAAACAAAACCATCGTCATTACCATCATCATCATCAATAATATCGAGACTATCAGCATCATCAATGTCGTAGGTATTCATGAAAGAGCTGGGTCTTTAGCTTTTTCTTAAAGGTACAAAGGGACTCTGCAGATGTGGTTGAAGTGAAGTAAATCACAAGGAAATCGGTTTCTTTTTTTAGGTTCAAACCGCTGAAGTAATCCAGAGTGGTGCCTCTGTGCAACTTATTATTTACAGTTAAACTGAGACTCACCTGAAACAGATGAACAGGCGCTCCTTCAGCAGATGGAACGACCCAAGAAATCACAGAGTTTCATTTACAGACACACTCAGATTGCAGAGCTTCACTTTGCTGTAAACAATGAAGCTCGTGGAAAAGGAAGAGTTGGCTGAAAGTCATTTCAATGCTAACTGCTCAAACTATGCAATTTACATCATGTGCATCACCACACACACTATTTTAGAGATTATTGTCTTAATCTGTGTGAGCTACACTTCAGGTGTTACTGATCTGGTGTTTGCATATTCTTTTGTCCGTCAGGATTCAGACTGATCTGATGCACCTTGAGAGATAATTGAAGGGTCCACGGAGACATGAAGACATCCTAGCATCAGATGTCTGCTGCCTAAACTGTGTTAGAGTGAGTCTGTTCTTCTGGATGTGAGAAGCTAACATTTCAAAGACACCTTTCAATCCGTCAGCTGGTTTAATCTTGACCGCCGTCTGTTTTGCTTCCTGTATATTTGTAAAAGGCTTTACCTGCAGTTTAGAGTGTGAGCCAAATCCTTCAAGGAGAGGATACAAATGTGGTACAAAAGACGAACAAAGGGAACAGATGGCAGCTGATCGACAAACGTTAAACACATTTGCTGTAAACTATCATGAACCTTAAGGTGTTGTTGCTGAACGATGAAATATATCTAATTTTTTCCAATCACCATTATTATGTTCAATTTACATAAAAGAATCAACCAATACTTCAGAACAGGCTGCAATTAAATCCTAAAGTGTGTCCACCAAAGTTGTTGTTTTGTCACTAACAGGCTCAGATTGTCAATAGGCCACATTTTAAAACGGTCCACCAAAAAATGGAATCCTTGTATGTTTTCACGTTAAGAAGTTCGGTGTTCAGACACCATTATGATAACAATTGTGGTCAAAGGGCTGCAAAAACGACTAAAAACGCTGTAGTGCACATGCCAGGCCAATAGTTGGCAGTGTGACTGTGTAATGAAACAACACACAGATGTCCATTACATTGCCTTCTCTTTGTAATTGTACTTTTTCCCTGTTGCATTCATAACTGAACTGTATTTATAACTGAACTGTTGTCATTTCTTCTTTTTATTTTCTGTCTCTACTTTTATCTGTTATTCCTAAAAGCTTCCCGCAGACAGGTGTTGCAAATTAGCATTTTGCCAAAAACACTAAGAGCAGTGCATCTGGCTCAAATTAATGAAGTCAGGGAGTTTGGTAGTTATGAAGGGAAATTCTGTAATGTCTGAGTCTGGTTAAAAAAAATCATCCTTCTCTATATCTCAAAGGTCTCTCTTTAGTGATCATGTATGTTATGTTGTCAGACACTAACAATAACAATCTCAGCCTGTCAGGGACAAAAACAACAACTTTTAGTTGATCAACTTTGGTCCAGTGCAGTTTCCCCAAAGGAAAATATTGCAGCCATTACAGCCTGATTTACATCTTTCAGCTAAAGCAAATTATTCAAGTTGTTTATTCTAGGCTACGTATTCTATATTCAGACCCCAACACATGTTTTTAAAAAGTTCAGTGTTTAAATATCCAGGAATGATTCTTCTAAATTCATTTGTAGCTTCATCATTAATTGTTTTCTTTACGTTCTTTTATTGTTTCTTTTAAGTCTCCATCTGCTGCGGTCAAACAGGAAACACTCTGACATCATGTTTGTCTCAGGAGATTTTTAGTTTTATCTTTGTAGAAAAAACAACAAATTGAACCACAGAAACAATTTAATTTACAGCTCCAGGTGAGAAATGTGAACAGCTGCTACTCGTCACCTCCTCCCCGGCTGTTTGCACAGATTCACACCGGAGAATGGTACAAAAAAAACCCGATACGCAGAGAGACACTGTACGCACGCAGTCATATCAGAAATATCACAAAAAAGTCATTCAGACAGCATTTGAGAAATGTCGGCATGAGTGAACACAAACTGTCTCAGGGGTCATCTGCAGCAGAAACATGCAACACATGACAATAAAGCAAACAACTTCAATTGGTCAAATGAACTTACATGCAGTAAGTTCACACATTTAAATTAATTAAAGAATCTGTTTAGAGTTTCAAAAACCTGCAGGAATCTTGTGAACACTGAAGGGGGACTTTGAAAATCTGAGTTTTCAAAATGTGATGTCGATTTATAAAAAAAATTGCATTTATACAAAATGATTGAGCATGAAATTAAATCTGAACTTTCTGAAAGATGCATTAAAGACTTACTAAGGTTCTCAATTACTGAACAACGTCCTCTGAAAAGAAATGGGTGTGTGAAGGGAAATCCGGGTTTTCTATATTTTGACTGACCTACATAAATAAAACTAAAACAGCCTCTAACTGGTATGAATAACCAAATAAGTTATAATTATTACACTAGCCTGTAGAAAATTGTATTCTTGTACTAGTCACAGCCATAGACTGAATGTAAAAACTGAATGTAGCATCAGAATTGCCTAGAACCTACATTCTTATAATATCCAGCAGGGGGAGAAAATGGTGGTTTAAATTAAATGTCTGGTTATATAGAGTCTAGGATGAAATGGTCCTTTACTTCAAAGCTGATTTATTCCCTCAGTAAACATTTCCCTAAGGAGTTTATGGTCTCAACCTCTAGTTTGAAGTCTTCCTCGATACAGCATGATGTTCATTTAATAAAATATGTTCCCATTTAGAGTTAAATGCCCCATTTCCACCAAGTGGTCCAGTTTGTTTCAGTACGGTTGGTACAGTAAACTCTGATCTTGCTTGTGTCTCCACAGCCAACCGTATCTTTACGAGAAAAGCGGATTGTGAGCTGGATGGCGATAGTGGCGTCAGCCAAGTAATAGTGTGTAATCATAGCAGCAAACATAGTGCGGACAGCCAATTCATGAAGAAGAAAGTGACACAATAAACAAAAGGCAACAATAGAAGACGTCAAGCAGAAGTCCGCACCTCCAAGGTAGTCCTTATTTCAGTGCTAGCGCTGACATTAGTTGCAAACAAACAGCCCTGAAATTACTCTATGAAAGCCACAGGATATTTAAACATGGCACGTTTTGTGTTTGTCCTTTATGACTGCTGTCGCAAAGAAAGTGATGATTCTTTCGACAATCAACAGACTGCAGTGTGTCTAGAATGGATCGGCACCTTTTGCACCTGAACAGAAGGTTAATGGAACAGAGCGACTATTTTTGTGCCATTCCCAGCTTTTGACAATGAACGCGCCAATAAAAACGTACCGTTCTGAACCGGACCAGACTGCTTGGTGGAAACAGGGCTAAAATGACCAGAAAGCAGGGGAGGATTCAGGGCGGGGCTTCCTCTGATTGACAAATGGCTTCTCTGTGACCTGTAAAATGTCTTGTTCAGTTGTACCTACATACACATTTTGGGGTCAACTCATTTTGTTTTGACCCTTTTTTCTGCTCGCCAAAATTGGCAATTTAAATCCAAATTTGTAAAGTTTAAATGTGGTGACCAGAATCACTAGTTGGTTAAACTAATTATTATATCTATTAATGTAGTCCCAATGTCAGACTGCAATGTTGTGTCAAAGCTTTACAGCAGCTATCTGCCACTAGATGGTGCTGAAACTACGGTAATTGACTACTTCCATAATGCTCAACAACCGAGACCTGAACAGCAATAAAGCTTGTTGCGTGGAACCTTGTTAGTATTTTATCTGTAAAATGAAGATAAAGCTGAATGTAGGCTGTCAGGTTAAACTGCCATATCGACCAGAGTGAGTTGTTACCACATTCAGCAGAGGCATGTAGACGTTAACCTACCTAAGGAGGACCGAAGGCTGGTGTAGCTAGCACTGCTAACATTAGCCCCACTCGGCAAAGCATTGGACTTTGTGTACCTTAAAACGCTGTGATCCCATATTTAGCCTTGTGAAATAAATTGTGCTCAATTTTGATTGTTTTTTGAGCGTCGGGAGCGAGTGTCAGCAACAAATCCTCTTGATTCAATTATTTCCGATCTGAGTTTCGTAATAGCCAGCGACCAACGCATTGCAAATACTTTTTCTATTTTCCTTTTAGTCACTTGCATGGACATTGATGAGGAATAAGAAACAAGGGAGCTCAACAAGGTGTTGGGAGTGTCCTACAGGGAAATTTACTTTCTTTCTCTTTCCTTAATCAAACAAGCTTGTTAGCTTTAGATGGCAGTAAATTATAACACATAATGTATATGAATTAAACATATGAATCACTCTCCACCTCGCCAGGTTGTATGCCACTTTCTCGTATGATTTCGAGTATCTTTAGGCAAGTTTCCGGATGGGCTTATCAGAAAACAAACGTATTTACATCAAAAATGAGTCATACAATTACATAAAGGCCACGCATTCAGTCTGAAACCCAGGTTAGACCTGTCTGGATTAAAGTTTTAGTTTAATTGTCAGTGAGATCAGTCGATAAGAACATCCCTATCCAAGTGTTTTCTAACCAAGGATTCACTTCGCTAACAATGCTTGCACTAGTTTTGTCTCATGACTCCTCGCTCCATCCTTCCAGTTCCAACCTTTTCTCCAAATATGGTCACATCTCGCTCGAAAACAACAATGGCCACAAAGCCAAACTTGAGGCAGAAGCGCATTAACCAAAGATTGACGTCAATGCTGCAACACTGACTTCTTATATGAGGTCTATGGCCCTGGCTGATTCTATAAATAATCTTCAGACATACTGTGTCCGGCTTCCTCCCCGTTTTGTTTAGTTATAGTCGTGCGGCTGTTTCCAGAAAGTAGCTAAACTTAGGTGGTAACTGTGTTGTTATTATGCTAATCCTGCACCCAGAGTTATCCTCTAACGTTTGTCATAGCACCCTGAATATGAAGTTTCAGCAGTATGGAAGAAAATGTTTGCTTGCATGTTATGTGTTGTAACAAAAAGAGAGTTCCCTTTTTTATATCTTGTGTTTTAAAATTGAGTTATAAAACCCTGAAAAAACATTTGTCCAAACCAAACAGATCTAATGTACACGAACACACAGGCGTTGATTATCCTTCCTCTTGCACCAGTTTCCTCTCGAATAATTTGGCATTTTTTTAAACATTGAACTGAGTCTCTACAGTGCAGACAAAGAGCAGAAAATAATGTTTGTAAAATCTTTGCAGTCACATGAAATTTCAAATGTTCAGCAAACAGAATTACCGAGTGACCCCCTCAAATATATACTCTGATAGAAAGTAAATATATTCACATACAGCTTTGTCAATAAATCTTTTGTCTTAAAGTTTAAGCATCACATCTACACTTATATATATTTATATCTATATTTATACTGCACCGTTCAGTCAGAAGATAAACTGCATCAGGAGGTCACTGAGATGAAGATGAATTTACAGCAGAACATTTTATATTTGAACCCAGACGCGCCTTAATGCTTGTCAAGGCAGAGACCAGTGTTGTGTTTGACCAGCAAAATAAAAAATATAAAACCTTAATTTCATTACATACTTTAAATGTACACAGGGTAATAACAGTCCATGGGCATGAGCGCACATTTCTGTATCGGACAGCACCGCTTTCCCTTCAGCTGATTGGCCTGTTAAACCGTCTCTGTACAGCGTGAGAGGTTAAGGTCTTCTTCTCCTGAAGTCTGTATTTGGCTGTGACTGTGACTCACTGAGTCTCGTCGAGTCTCCGAGTCTGAGCGCGGAGGAGGAGGAGGAGGGCGATGAAACGAGTGTGCTTCATGCAGGATGAAGGCTCTGCTCTGAGACCAGCGGGCGTGTGTTGGCGTGGAGGTGAGTCGGGGCAGTGTGTACACGCTTTCCTCCTCTCCTACACTGTACTCTCCATCACCCAGTCGGCGCTGTCCAACGTGCCCTTGCTCCCCCCCGTGTCCCCCTCCTCCTCACACTGCAGCAGCATGCCGTTCACAGACAGGCTCCGCCTAGTCCAGATGCTGCTGATCCTGCGCCGTTTGTTGCTCAGCTGAGCGGCCCCGGAGCCCTGCACGTCCCCCATGTCGAAGGACTGACTCCTCCTCGGTTTGGAGTCCAGAGGGAGCATAAGGATCCGGCTTAGGCTGGAGTCCAGAGTCCGGCCCAGCAGAGGCTCCCTGTCCGTGCGCGGTTTCCTTGCCGCTGTGGTCGAGGCGCTACTGGAGGCCCCCAGCTCGCTGCCCTGCGCCCCCCGGAGGTCCAGGGAGGTGAACGCCCCCAGGAGGTGGTCTAGGTTGGTCCGGGGCTTCGACTGAGCCGATCTCCAAATGTTTGCGAGGGTGCTGTTCGGGCTGTAGGACCCGCCCGCCAAGGAGCCCGATGAGGAGGAAGAGGACGACGAAGTGAGGCTGCTCTGCAGGGACCCGCACTTAAACTCCACAACCTCGTCCTGCAGGGTCACCTTAGCCTTCACCTTGGGCTCGGGCTGAGGCTGCGACTGATTCTGGGGCATCAGGATTCCGTTCTGCCCCAGTCGCCCCCCGTTGGTCTGACAGTGCGTATCGCTGACGTTGGTCAGCTTCCCCACGGGGGAGTCGGCGTCTGCAGCTTTGTAACGCACCATGAGGATGACGATGAAGACGAGCAGAGTGGCAACGATGATGCCCCCCACCACCAGGATCATGGTGCCCCCCAGCAGCTGGCTGGGTAGAGACTGGCACTGCGCGTAGTCGTCCTGGGTGAAGAAGTGGGTACAGCCCACCACGTTGGTGGCAGTAAGCGTAGTGGCCGAGTCGTCCCAAGCGGCGAGCACACACAGGTCGTAACGAGTCCCCGACACCAGGTTAGTGACCAGGAAGGCTTTACTGGAGGAGGGGATCATCCTGCAGAGAGAGAGGACACAGAGGAGGGCTGCAGGTTAGAGACTGAACATGAAGATTACTTTATGTCTAATGATGCTGCTGAGATCTCAGTTAACCCTTTGGACTCTGAAATAAAAATGAGTTTGAAGACACACATTAGTATGTCTGCTTACAATAATGTCTTTTCTTGGAGCAGGTTTAAGATCCTCATAAATCTTAAATCTGTACAACCTAAATTAAAGGATTAAGTCAGTCAGTTAATCACAACAACAGATAAAAGTATTTAAGTTGTGTCACCTGTGCCCTAAAAAAACCCTAAACATATAAACCCAAAACAATTCTGATTATAGAACCTTAAACAAAACACTTCTTTAATCTCCAGAAGTTATTTGAATATATGCACAGGTTAAATGTTTGTGTAGAGGGAGTTCTGAGTTTTCTATAACTTCTGTTGTTGTTCACAATAACCCAGAAAGTGGCCTTAATTCTGTCAAAGTTATATTAACAGACTTTACAGATCATTTATTTTGAAATCACACACAGGGGGAATTGTTTTCTTGATCACTAGAAAGTTTGCACATTGCATCTCTTATAAATACTGCGGCACAGTTACCACCAACTCTCAGCAGACGGTCACTCTAACTGTGCGTGGCTGCTATGCTTTTAGTAATGAGGCTGATTTACATAGTATTGAATAATTTACATATGCTCAAACATCAGCGACGCAAAGAATCTTTGCTGTGCAGCGCACTTAAAAGGAGTATGTCAGCCTTTGTGTGTTTGGTGAATATGATTGTGTCTTTTTCTCCCTTCTGAACCTGTTTATCGGGCGCAAAAGTCGTGCAATACTGTGAATCAGGTCCTCATTGTATAGAAGTTTATGTGAAAATGGTCCTACTTCTCATCTGATTTATTTCTTCTGTAAACATTTCCCACATGAGTTGATGGTCTCAATCTGTAGTTTCAAATACAGAAAATACATTCTTCAATACAGCACGACTCTCTTTTTTTTATGAGCAGAGTGGAAGGTGTTTTTGATTTAATATAGATCCATGGCCTACATTGCTGTTTCTGCTTTTTTTTCAGAGGTATTATTGTGTAGCTCTGCTCAGGCTGTTATTGTTTTTATTAAAGGAACATGTTCATGTCCTTCAGCTGTATGTGACCACCTGAACATTGTTATACAGCTATACAAAACATACAGTTTTAAACATGAAAGACACCTAAGATTAAAAAAAGATTGATGTCTCCTATAGTTGTGTTTTTATTTGATCCGTTTAAACAGGATCATGTGAAATTAATTAAAACAACCCATCTGCCTGCAGGAGACCAAAAAGTGTCAAAGACACAGAAACAGCTACAGTGAATAATTAAACCATCACTATTTGAACAGTGATGTTCAAATATGTTATTTCTGCACATGAAGACTGAAAAAGCTACAGCGACCTCTTTTTACAATGTTTCCTGACAGCCGAGCCACAATTTCTATTTGCATTTGCTGGAGTTTGTGTCCACGGCTCAGTCTCTCCGGTTGCTTCTGTAACAGACAGCCAGCAGTAATTGGCTTTATCTCAGAGCCATCTGTCTCGCTGCAGTGAGCAGAGGGTCCGCTGATAGCTGAGCTTCAGAGCAGTCATAAAAAAAACAGACAGAAACCCCCCCCCCCAAAAAAAATAAAACGACCGGAGACTGGAACACATTCTGTCTCAGCCAATCCACGATCGATGTGGACCTGTGGGACCCGTCAGGGAGAACAAACCGAGGGAGAGTGTCGGGTGGTATTAAGTTGTGACGCTGCTTGCAGGTGTGTGTGTTCCTGCTTCAACACATAGCAGCAGGATGGGGAGGCGTCCTGGGAGTGATCGCCTGTGAGTGCCCGAGGCGAGCAGCTCAGGGTCCAGCAGCAGGTCGTGCTGATGCTTTAACACTCACTCCTGCTGTCTGACTGATACACACACACATACACAGTTTATCCTGCAGGGATGCACATCAGACGCTCCATCCCAGACTCTATGGGTCAAACTATTTAATAGAGCTGAGATTTACCAAACTTGAAGATAAATCTATCTTCTCAAAAGAGTCCTGATTATAAACTGTTCATAATGCAGTCTCTTTCACATCAGCTCATATTGTCTCTGTGTCCCTGCAAACAGAAAAAAAAATCTAGGGCAGGACTGGATTAATGAATTTAGAGGCTAAGCTAATTAGCTCATAAAAAAGCAGCTCTTGTTTGCTAACCCCATCATGATACCACCGCCTGATTAAAAAAGCATCAGGGAGCGATGAGTTAAAGAATCAAACTGAGTTTAAAGCATGCATGACACTTTTGACCTCCCAAAAGGAGAGTGTGCGCTGCAGAGAGAGAGAGGTCAGCCCTGGTGCCTGAACACGAGTCATGTTTACATTTTACTGACAAGAACCTCCAGAGGCCTCGTCCATTATGACTCATGTCTGTCAGGAGGAAAAGAGGGAGAGGGAGAGTGATGTCGCTGCAGAGACATAAAAGCCCATGGGGACGATGGGGGTCGAGTCAACAAAGCTGCAACTTTGTCAATGAAGTGTCTGCTTCTGTCAGGGTCAACTTTTTCAAACCACAACCACGCTGCTTCTTTGAAGACTCTTGTTCAGTATTACCAGGAGACCCTAAATAACTGCAGAGGACATTTTTAGTCTTACTTTTCAATGAATCTGTGCTGTAGATGAATTAAAGCCGGAGAAAGACTCACTTTTTTTAATCTTGCATCCGCGTGCACTACCAGCTGGGTCATGAATGTGATGTTAATACCTGACTTTCCACTGTCCATGTTACTATAGGATACCTCTAGAGGGTGTACAGAAGATAACTGCCAATTAATCAGTTAATCGTAATGTATCTATCTACGTTCAGCCACTTTTATTTAACCTCACCTTATTGTACCTCTAGCTGAATCCATCCGCCAAAACATCAACATCCAAGGAATCAAAACACCAAACACACATCATAAAATAAGTCTATATGCAGATGACATATTGCTCTTTCTACATAACCCTTACTCATCATCACTACAAGAAACAATGAAGCTCATAGGAAGCTCCTCCAACGTCTCCAATTATTCAATAAACTGGCATAGATCTTCAATCCTTCCACTTTAAAGTAACAGCTGGGATGTGGCAGCCCACACACCATCTTTTCCTTTATGCAAAATCCACATCACATATCTAGGAATTAAAGTGTCCCTGAGGCTGTCAGAGCTGCTCAGTCTCAATTACACTCAAAACAATAACTGATAATCTCCACCGCTGGATGAACCGCTGGATCCAATATTGGATGGCAGATAACCTGAGTGAGAGCATAGCACCTCCTGTACTTTGGAGAGCTCATTAAATAACGAGCCAACATGACTGAACACGGTGATGATATTTGAAAAAAAGATTCAATATTTGTAGATTCTCAAACAGACGTGTGAGATTTGGTGTTATCTTACTTTTCAAGGCCTCTCAAGAACTCACATCTATTGACTTTGTAAAAAGCAGATGTTTTTGTTAACTTTTGATAACACCTGTTTAACCGTTTAAATAGTGACCATCTTAACTGACAACTTTTAGTTTGAATGCATCTGTGGTTGTCTGAGTTACAACAGATGTTGAAGCCGGAAGGTGGCCTTACAAATCCTGCTTTGTTTAGTTTTTCAAAAATACCAATCATATAAGTCTGTAACTACAACAACCACAGACGCTATATTCTGATAGTCGTCAGGTAATACTCTTTAAACTGTAACACCAGTTAACACTAATGTGACTAAGTTAAACAAAGTTAAAATCTTTGTTAACATAGTAATGGTTAAACTTAAAGTTATGATGACCAAGTGTGCTCACCTCCGCCTACTGGGAATTTGCATACTGCATCTCTAACACTTCAACAACTTTTTAACAGTCACAAATGATGCACACATCTTTTTTGTGTCAACCGAGCTGTCTTTACCAAACACAAGCAGTCTTTACATCTCTGGGTGCGTTCGAATTGTCCCTCCTATCTCCTTTCACTATCCACTTTACCTTAACCCTGGAAGCATGTAAGTGGCGGCCATGATAAGAGCCGTTCGAATTCTCTAAAAGTTAAGGAAAGGTGGGTCAATGCTTCCTTTATAACCTCCTTTAGCATAGGATACACTGGACCATCCTTTACCAAAGGAGATGAGATATGCCGCCCCACAATTCCTTGCGGCCGCAACATTTACGATTACATTAACGATGATTATAAAGTGATACAGATGATGTTTGATTCAACATATTTCATTCACTTAAGAATGCTTTGTGCAGTTGTACATTTGTATGTTTAAAATATTATGTGTAGGCTATATCTTATATAAATGTAACAATTAATTTCATACAATCATATTTATTTTGATGTTGATTTCTGAGTGGACAGGAATGTGATGGTTTCACTTTTGTTACTCGTAGCCTGGTAGTCTATATTCATTTTATATCAATCCCAACCTTGTGGTAATTAGGATTATTTCACCGGTAAGAAGGCACAGGGGAAAGTTTTTTAGATGCATTTTTTGTAATCCATTTTCGGAACATTGTAGTTTCACCACGGCAGACCCACGTCATTAACCTCCGCCGGCACGTCGCATTTATTGACGTCACCTAGTGGAAAATGTGGTCGGATTGTCAGAGCAACGAGATTGCCTTTCCCTAAGTCCTTTATGAATTCTCCTAACATCTTTCCTTAACCTCATGACGTTTTCCCCAGGGTTAAGGTGAAGTGGATAGTGAAAGGAGATAGGAGGGACAATTCAAACGCACCCTCTGATTTATCAGAGGATTTCAACACTCCACTAAGGAGTTACATGCAGCGTCCTGTGTCCTCTAGATGGGTCAAGAGAACAACAATGCACTATGTTGCTGTGAAAAAAGAGATAGATCACATCTTTCTACTTGATAGTGAAACATCAGATGTTAATGCCTTACAAAGACCCTTTAACCAAAATTCTGATTTGACCTCTTTAATGATCTGTGCCCGTTAATGATGTTTTTTG